CTGTGGTCATCTCGGAGCAATACTGGGGGATCTCGCTTATTTCCTGTGTACGACTGGGGTTCTTCTTGGCTACATATCACTGTGAGTTTGAATGTTCGAAACTTGTTCGCACGTGAACGCCTGATGATGCCATGTCCCGTGGGAACGGTATCATACGTAATACCGTCATGTGGCCGATGAGGTTGTTGAGGGGTCTCACTTGCTTGCGACGTGTGGTCATCACTCGATCTGCGAAAATGTGCACCGTGTGTCCCCATTTGACGCACATTTGTTTCGCATTACGATTCCTATTTGATGCACGGTGTGATGTCATTTTCTTCATTGTGCGAAATGTGTATAGAATGTGTTTCCCGTTCGACTCACATGTGACTCCCAGTGAAATTCACACAGCGGCTCATTATTGCTAATCGCGGCTCGAAGTTTCGATTCATTGTGTTACGAATCCTGCTGTTAGACGGCTCGTTATTGTTTTTGATTGGGTCGAGTGTGATTCGCGGCACGGGTGTGGCGGGGTAGTTGTGCAGGTTGGGTTGGGTTGGGTCGGTTAGCCACGGCGGCTGGGATCTAGCGACGGCTCGACGCAATCTGAGGTTTCTGTTCAGGGTCCGCCGATAACCCGGGCTATCGGGCTCGCGCCACCCCGCCTGCACACGGGAAAAATTTCACCGTGTCGGTTGAGCAAGTCCAGACATATCTTTCGGCATTCCCACACGGCACCCTCATCGTCGCAGCACGAATCGTGGCATCGTCGCAGCAGCGTTAGCAGCCGCAGGGGGCGCAGCACTGGTGCGCGCGGGAATATGCGGGGCTGCCCACAGCGCGAGGATTAGGTTATCGGCTGGCCCATCCCCCCTCCACATAGCCCGGGTTATCACCGATCACATAAAGAGCCTCTCGTTACAGCCGTTGATTATTACAATTGTCTTTCTGTTCCGCCTGTTTCGATTTAGAGACACTGCTTCAAACACACGTCGCAAATATGAAGACCAGCACGTGGCTATTGCAGCCGATGTGGCCTCCTGAGTGCGACAGTCGAATCGCAGCTGCACTCGCCTTCCCCCGTGCACGAGCCTCAGACACGCCTCTGGTGAACCTTAGGAATCCTATGGAATCCTCAAGGAACCCGATGGATTTCCTACGGAATCCTGTGGATTGCCGGAAGAATCCGAGGGAATTCCTTGGGAACCGGATGCATTTCCTAAGGAATCCGATGGCTTTGCTCAGGAATTCTAAGGATATCCGAAGGAATCTTGTGAATGTCCTCAGGAATCCTACAGATGCTTTAAAAGAATCCCACGAATTTCCTAAGAGATCCGATGGATGCCCTAAGGAACCCGATGGATGTTATAAGGTATCCCATGAATTTCCTGACGATTCCTGTGGATTTCCCAAGGACTCCTATGGAGCGTCCAGGGACGTCTTCATCGTCATCATCGTAATAATCTTCAACATTATGCTGCAATCTCCGGGAAAACGTTTGTTATCCCCCCTGGGCCCCAAGCTTTCTTATCCCATGGGGATTAATATCAGGGGCACATGGTCAATCGCACACCTCCCGAAGCATACGACTCTAGGGCGGACCTCTCGGCGCTGGCCCGGGGAGGAGGATGCCATCGGCCAGCGTCCGAGTGTCATTCGACCAGCTCTCCAAGTATGGCGTGGAATGAACGTTTCCCCGTCCCGAGACAGGGGACAGCCCTCGTGGTGGCCCTCCTTGGCATGGCCCCAACGTGTCCTAACGGAAACGGGTAGGAGGAGGGGGAGGAGGAGGAGGAGGAGGAGGAGGAGGAGGAGGAGGAGGAGGAGGAGGAGGGAGGAGGAGGGGGGAGGGGGAGGAGGAGGAGGATGTGTCTCGGGATTCTCAGACAGTGGCCGTGGACTCGGGCTGCTCTCCTGCTGCGTCGCAGGGCGGCTTGCACGCCGGAGCTTCCAAAAGGCCGGGGGGGCCCGCCGGCTCGTGCAAGCGTTACTTGGCGGGAGTCATACATACCTGCCCCCTGCACGCATGATTGGTGTGTGCACGTGCGCACGTGTACATATTTATTTATATATATATATATATATATATATATATATACATATAAATAATATCAAGGGCAGAAAAAAAACGCCCCTACCCTGGTTTGCGAGGCGCTGTGCTCTGAGCCTCCTGTGGGCTGCAGGGTAAACCCTGCGTGATGTGCCGCGTCCTGGCGGCTCTAGGCTTTGGGGGTTCCCAGGAGGTTTACAGAACACGCACTTGTAATCCCGGGTAGGGTCGTTTTTTTTCTCATCCCTCCAAAATATATATATATATATATATATATATATATATATACACACACACGAGTGCAAGGCGTGCAGCGCACACACGAGCCAGACAGGATTTGACGCCAACACATCGGGGCGGCCAAGGCGATCTCACCGTTTTCGCAACAGCGAGAGATTCAAATCGGGGTTCCGCGATGGGGCGCCTTCATTGACGGCCCCACACCCGCATGGGAGACACGTTGGCTGGGAGGCGACATCCAGAAGCTTGTGTGGGGCGAGCGTGGCAACGTGGTTGGCCAACACATCATGAAGACGTTCAGGCGCAAGTGATTTTGCCGCGTGCTCTCCCCGTCATCTCACCGGGTCACCCCCCGCCGAGCTTGTTTGCCTCGCGCTATGGCTCACAAGTGGTTTCGTCCTGATTGGATGGGTTCTTCGCTTGTCCCATCCCCATCTCGCGGACGGCGCAGCTCATTCATCACGCAAAGAGTACAGAGGGGAGGAGAAGGAGGAGGAGGATGAAGAAGAGGAGGAGGAGGAGACGGAGGAGACGGATGAGGAGGAGGAGGAGTAAGGGCATGAGCAGGGAGAGGGTGAAGAAGGATGTTGATAGTAGTGGCGGAAGATATGCGTCGGGGTCGCGAGCTTCGGAGCCTCGTTCCCTATTGCCAGATTCCCTTCCTCGCTTCGTCCGCCAGCGCCTGCGCCTCTCCCTTTCCACCCTGCGCTTCCCCCCCCTCATCCTGCCATGGGACCACTCCTCTTGCCGAGGGAGTGAGGGGCAGGGGGGAAAGACTTAGCCAAAGCTCGCTTCACTTTCTCCCTCCCTCTCCCTCCCCTCCCTCCCTCCCATGCGCGTCGCCGACGCCGCTGGCTGCCACGAGCCCGGCCTGGCCCACCGACCGCTGCCTCCACGGTGGCCTCCGCACGCCTCACTGGCCCCGCGCATCGCCGAAGCTGGTCGCCGCCCTCGGCGGTGTCGGAAGAGCGTGCCGCAACTGCCATGTTCGCAGCCCGTGCCTTGCGCCACCGGCCCTTGCGCAGCCCCGCCAGGCACTGCTGGGGGGACCGCGCGCCGGTGTGGTGCCGCCGCTTGGCCACACGGCCCCGTTGCCCGGGTGGCGGTCAGAGCTCGCGGGGCACGGCGAAGGGTGGGCGATCCATGCGGTGCGTCCCAACAGTGCGGCGTCGGCATTTTTGGGACTCAGGGCTTTCGGGGGCGACGCATACAGGCCTGCGGGCGGCTGCAAGGATGTTTCGCTCCTTGTCGGATGGCGCCGCCACTTGCGGGCCCTCTCGCAGGGAGTCCGTAAAGACTGACGCGACGCGCCCGCCACGCATTATCCTCTTCCTCCTCCTCCTTGCCAAAGGGGACAGGGGGTAAGAGGAGGAGTTTCCCGGTATATCCTACTTGCGGGTGTCTCCTCATTAGTGTGTTGTTTCCGTCTCCTCCCAACACCTTCCCCTTCCTCCAATGTGAGTAAGACTCGCTCATACTCAGGCCCGTTCATGCTCAGACTCACTGATACGCAGCCGCATTCAGAATGACTCGTACGACGCGTCTCACTTCAGAGCCCCCGCGATGTAGCAGGCATCACATTTAGCCTTCCCAAAAGAGAAGCCAACCAGGGGGGAAACGAGCAAAACCCAGGAAACGGAAGCGCGAACCCCAGAGCGGAAAAAGGACGAGTCCAGGGAACAGAGAACGCACCAGCCCAGGATTACAGGGCCCGTCGAACCTGGGAAGCACGAGGGGCGCTAGCCGTGGAAGTCAGGAGAGCTGGATGAGGCGGAGGAGGACGAGGAGGAGGAGAACGCTGCAGAGGAGGATGAGGAGCATGAGGGCGATGATAAAGAAGAGGAGGTGGAGGAGCGGGAAGAGGGAGGGGCTACGACGAGGAGGAAGAGGAAGTAGAGGGGCGGGGGCCTCCTCACCACCTGTCTGTCTGTTCGTCGTCGTCGTTGTCCCTCATCGTAGCCGCCGCTGTCGCCGTCGCCGTCGTACCCGCCACCCACTCGGACTCACGCTCACGCCCAGGCATCCACTGCCAAACGCCCACAACGGAAAGTGCCAGGGAACGAGATGCACATTCGGCGATCTCCGCCTCGAGTAATCATCATCGGCGCCCCCGCGCCAGAGCGCCTCCTCTGACCCTGGCTGGTTTTCGGGCCCGCGAGAACCGCCCAGCCCCCAGAGTCCCTGCCACGTTCTTGGAGGAGGAGGAGGAGGAGGAGGAGGAGGAGAAGGAGGGGGAGGAGGCCAGACGGCCTCTCCAGATTATGGCGGGGAGGAGTGGCGGGTCGGAAGGGGCAGCGCGCCGCGGAGGAGGAGGAGGAGGAGGAGGAGGAGGAGGAGCAGGAGGAGGAGGGCGCAGGGGGAGCAGATCGACGCGGTCCGGAGGAGGGAGGAGGCAGCGGTAGCAGAGGAGGAGGAGGAGGAGGAGGAGGAGGAGGAGGAGGAGGAGGAGGAGGAGGAGGAGGGAGAGCCTGGGGGGCGAGACGCACCGCGAACAGGGGGGCCAGATCGACGCACCGCGAGCAGCAGCGGCAGGAGGCCGTCGCGGTCGTCGCGCGGGCGAGTCGGGAGTGGGGCTCCCGGCCCGCTGCTTCCCGCGTTGGCAAGCGTCGGATAGAGCGGAATCTCGTTCGGGTTGGCCCGCACTGCGCTGCTCCGCGGTGGGCAGAGAAGCACTGTCCGCCTCCAGCGCTGCCGCGCGGCGAATGGAATATAGAGTGATATCCGGTTGCGTCGCCGCGCGACTCCGCCGCCGCGCTTGGGCGCGCGCGGGGGGGGGGCGCCCGAAGGGGGAGGGGGGGCGCGCTGCGGACCCTTTCCCCCTTCTCTTCTCCCTTCTCTTCTCCTCCTCCTCCTCTCCTCCTCCTCCTCCTCCTCCTCCTCCTCCTCCTCCTCCTCCTCCTCCTCCTCCTCCTCCTCCCGGGCCCGCTGTCTGCTCGCGGGGCCCCAGAACGCGGGGGGAGCGGATCGCAGGCAGCGAGCGCGTCCTCTCGGGGGCTCGGCGCGCGGAGGCGGGGGGGGAGCGAATTGCCGCGTCCGCCGCGCCGCGGCGGTGCAGGCGAAGGTGCGGCGCCTGGCAGGGTCGACGAGTTCGCCAGCATGGCCAACGCGCCAAGCTTCGTGACGGACGTGCAAGCTAATTGCTGCGTCAGCCGCGCCGCGGCGGTGCAGTGGAAGGCGCGGCGCCTGGCAGGGTCGGCGAGTTCGCCAACATCGTCAACGCGCCAAGCTTCACGACGGGCGTGCAGGCGGCGCTTCGGGCCAACAGCCTCGCGAGGAAGCGGCGGTGCCCGACGCCCGCTCTTGCCGCGGCAAGCGCGGTTGGCAGATCATGTCGGCCCTGGGGCGTTGCCGCGTGGCGGACGTCCTCGCCGATCGACGGCCTCCGCAGCGTCCCAGACACGCCAGACGGATGGCGGGCGCTCTACGCATGAGGATCCCTACTGGGCCCTATGGCATTCGTGAGGGTTGCGGATGTGGTTGCACTGGACACTTTTTGGTCGGCGGGTCGAGAGCGGGCCTCTTCCGGTTAAAGTGGTTGCACTGGACACAGGATTGGCGGAAAGTGAGGAGGGAGGGGTCTGGGGCTGGGGAGGTCCAGAGGGAGGGAGGCGAGGGAGATGGGGGCCGATCTTCGATTCCCCGCCATGTTTCGGGAGGCCTTGGCCAGACGGATTTCGTAGAACGTGGGGGGAAGAGCTCGGCGCAGGGGGAAAGGGTGACCTTGAAGGATGCATGTTGAGGGAGCTTCGGAGGGGCGAGTGGGGGGAACGGACGGGGGAGGGGGCCGAAGCCTCCTTCTGTCCAGCGCGTGGCGAGTAGAGAAGAAGTTGGTTTGGTTTGCCTGCCCGCGTTGCCGCATGACGGGTCGAGCACAATACTAGTTGTTCCCGCCCCCTTGCGCTGCCACGCGACGAGCAGTGACGAATACTCTTGATTGCCCCCCTTGCGAAGCCACGCGGCGAGTATTGCAGAGCAGTATTTGTTCGCCTCCCCTTCCGGCTATGCCGAGTGACGGGAAGGGCACAATATTGTGTTTTTTGTTGCTTTCATTGCCGCGCGGCCAGTTCAGTGCCACATCATGTTTCCAGCTCTGCGTTGCCGCGCAGCGAGCCGATACAATGGTATACGTTTCTCCCCCGGGCCTTGCCAAGTGAAGTCTGGAGGCCAGTGTTACTTATTTGCGCACCCCCTGCGATGCCACGCGACGAGTAGAGCGTGGTAGTAGATGTCCCGCCGCCTTGCGTTGCCACACGGCGAGTAAAATATATGTTGAAGGCTTTAGGGCCGGCGCCGCCGACCCAGAAGTCAGGAGGGTAAAAAACACACAGACACAATTAATCGTCGATACCGAAGAAAATATTGGAAAAAATTGGCAGAGGGGGGGAAGACAGAAACCCAGAAAATATAGGAAAATATGGGGAGTCCTTTTAGTTGTGTGTATTTATCTGTGTGTCCCAGGGCCCCTTCAAGAAGGACGACAACGACGACGACCACCACCACCACCACTAAGACAATAACAACGACAACGACGAGCTGCTGGTCCAGCCACAGGCTCCGGACACGGGGCGGGGTTGCCACGCGGCGAGTAGAAGGTAGTCCTATTCGCCACCCAGGCTTTGCCCTTGTGTAGGCCAGAGTCGACGACCGATGTCTTCCGAAGGATCTCAAATACTCAGGAGGAAAAGAAACACACAGACACAATTAATCCTCGATTTCTCGGTAAATATGGGAAATATGGGAATTGGGGGGAAGACAAAAACCCAGAAAGTATGGGAAAGTATGGGGAATAGTTTTATTTGTGTGTATTTATTTGTGTGTCCCAGGGCCCCTTCAAACACACCCGACGGATTATGGGATGTTTTTGGGTTCCTGAGGTTTTCTTTTGGGATTGTTTCAACTTTCTGAGGGTTGGGGCTTGTGCGGTGCGACAATTCAGTGGTGGAGAAAGGGGATTGCTTCGAGGGCTTATGTCAGGGGAGGATCCAAAGGGAGAGGGACGAAAGAGATAGTAGCCGCTCTCCGATTCCTCGCCAAGTTTTGGGAGTTTCTGGCCAGAAAAATGTCCCATAACATGGCGGGGATGCGTCCAAGGCATTTCTGGAAGGTGACGTTGGGGGAGGGGTGTTCAGAGATGTGCCAAGGGGGTTTTGTCGTCGTCGTCGTGGTCGTCGTCGTCATCGCCGTCCGTCGTCGTCACCGTCGCCGCACTCATCTCTGCCGTCGTCGTCGCCGTCGCCGTTGCGAGCTGTGAGTGCAGAAGACTAGTGTTTGCAGTGCCCTCCCCCGGCTTGCTACATAACG